AAATATATATATAAATATAGATACCAGAATTCGAACTTAGGTTTTTTTTCCCCCCAAGAACATGATATACTTACTCCAAAAATTATATGGAAGAATAAATGTGCATGAAAATTCAGCTTTGCAGAAGAACAAGGGGTAGGGGAGAATTACTCTATTAGATATTTAGATCCACCACAAAGCCGTAGTAATAAAAACAGTACAGTCCTGGTACAACAGATAAATGGACCAATGGGAAAAGCAGAAATCTCAGAGACAGACCATTGAAGATATAGGTGATGGGTAAGATGACCCATTATATAAAGAAAATAAAACTGCATCTCTATGTAGCATCTATTATAAAGGTGGATTCCAGATGGATTAAAGACCTAAATCTGAAAGCCAAAACAACAGAGTTAACAGTAGATAATGTAGGAGGATCTCTTTTTAAAGACTTCTTTGATAAAACCTGCAATACACAAAATATTGATGAATATCCTTATACCAAAAGTAAAGATTTCTATTCAGCAAAGGACATCATGGACAAAGTTAAAAGACAGATGACAGATGGGAGAGAACATACTCTGCAAGGTCTAAAACTGAAAAATGACTAATCTCTAGAATACACAAGAAATTGGTATAATCTCTAAATTAACAAGGAAAAAGATAGTGACTGTATTGAAAAATTAGCAAAGGATAGGAACTGTCACATTATAGGAGAGAAAATCAGAAAAGCCACAAAGCATAAGGAGATATTCAAACTCAGACATATGCAAATTAAAACAAGTTATCACTCTATATGCTTTAAATTGACAAAAATTAGAAAGTTGGACAGTGCTGAATGCTGGTGGACTTGTGAGGCAGTGGAACTTCAAGTTGCAGTCATTCTGGAGAGTCATCTAACAGTATTTTGATACATTAAATATATGTCTTATGACCCAGAAATCCCACTCCTATATATATATATATCCGAGCAAAATTTGCACACGAGTCCATAAGTGGCTATGTATGAGAATATCCATCACTACATCTGTGGTGGTAGTGGGAGTTGGAAGTAATCCATGTCCATCACTAGAGTAAGGTGGTGAATGCATATCTTGGAATGCCACGGAGCAGTTAGAAGCCCAGATTAGATCTATGCATAGCAACATGGAAACAACTTAAAAGCATACTACAAGGTAGAAAAAAAAACTTACATAATGATATCTGTAACACCAACAATTATTTAAATTTAAACTCTGTGCCCAAAACATGTTTCACAAAAACGTATACAAGTGGAAAGATACACACCAAAGGCTCTAAAATGAGTGGCAGAAGGAAGCAGAGAAAGGAAAAGAGTGGGAAACGGGTGAAAGGGAATTAATGAATAAATAAACCAGTGTATGAATGAATGAAACATACAGATATGCATACCACAGTAGGCATGAATTAATGATGAGAGTGCACCATGAACTAATAGGTATAACTGACTCATACCTCTGTACCTGAGACTCAAAAATAAGTAAGGAAAGAAACAAACAACCAATATAAATATTTCTGAGGAATTTCTCATTCTGGTCTTCATAGCAGCCACATTCCTCCTAGAGAATTTATTTCACAAATATCAACAGCTGAAAATCTTAACATTTTACAACTTTATAATTATTCACTTTTAAAACATATACAGCACTCAAAAATAAAATGCCATAGAATCATAAAACCTCAAGATGGGAAAACCTTAGTTGCCTTCTAGCCTAACCTTGGACCTAATTCTGGAACCTCACATTCATGTTAGCTGCATACTCAACTTGGTCAACCTCTATTGAATATTTCCAGTGATGGTGAATCCACTAATTCACAAGGTGCCCGTTCTGGCAATTTAAATACTTGATTATTGGAAGTTTTTCCTAATATTAAACCAAAATCTGACACCAGGGATTTTTTTTTTTTGATCTATTATTTCTAAGTGTAAGCTCAAAGATGAACATTAAAAAAAAAAAAAAAGTTCCAAAATGTTAGGGTGGGGGGACTATGCAAAGAAAAAACCTATGAGTTCAGTGCCAGTCTTCAAAATTCTGCACTCAACACTAAGTGAAGGCCTCAAGAGATTTACAGATTTCTCCACTGCATTGAAACAAGAATCCCACTGAGAGGGCCTTGAGTCCCAGAGTCCCAAAGGAAGAGGTCATTAGAAAGCTCTGTCCTATAAGCTCCAATGATACCACTTCCTAGTGTTCAGGGAATAGAATGGCAAGATGGAGGTAAATTAAGTTTGCCATTGCTGAAAACTTCCACTGAAGGCCACGGTCCCAGCAGGGACTTTCTGCCCTAAATTCTGTGATCCCTAGTAAAGCTTTCCTAAGGACCCAAACAGAACCAGGCATGCCCAAGAAAACTCTAACATAACTACATATCATAGGAAGGACTCAGTTTACCATCCCACCCTACTACCACCACAAACATTGACCCTTGGCAGAGATGCAGAGAAAACAAAGAGATAAAAAATTGATATTCTTCAGCAAGAGCCACCGCTTTCAATATATTTCGCTATACTTTTCCATAAAATCTGCATGTATTCAGATTCAGTAAGAGTGCTAAGAACCAACTAATATTGGTAATATGTTTTACTTGAACTTTCACTTTCATTTCACTATATTCACTTGCCTTTGCTAAGACTGGAAGCGGGGCAACGTTTGCTGTGGAAGTTCTTTAGGGAAAAGTAGAGAACATTAATAGCTTCTTTGACCTTTAGCTGAATTTGTCCTCTAGGGCCTTTTTTCACACTCCTTGTAAATGTGCCACTTCTTTGACAAGTCACCTAAGGTATCAGGGATTAATAGATGTTAAAGTACACTAAATCCCAGGAGAACCCCCTAAAGTTCCGATCTTTTATATAAAAACTTTGCCAGTTAATATTTACTGGTACATTCTGACTTCTCTGACTTCGCACTTTCTTTTAAAGGTTAGTTGGCCAGATTAGGGCTGCTGTCCTAGCAGCTACAGGATGATAACAAATGAAGTCCTGTTTTGTTTGTTTCTTTACTACATCTTTCTAAATACACAGACACACTCACTTCTGTTAAAGAATGACCACATCTTTACCTTTATACAGAAAATGAGTTTATTTTTTCCCATACAAAAATTTAAACATACATTGTTATGACTCTAATTGCTCTCCCCATACTGTGACAGCCCACTCCTCCTTTCCACCCAATTCCCCATGTCCATTCAACCAGCTCCTAACCCTCTCTGCCTTCCCATCTCACCTCCAGACAGAAGCTGCCCGTTTATTCTCTTGTATCCACTTGAGCTAAGAGGCACACTCCTCACGAGTTATCACTTTATGTCCCACAGTCCAGTCCAATCCCTGTCTGAAGAGTTGGCCTTGGAAATTGTTTTAGTTCTGGGCTCATAGAGATCCAGGGGCCATGCTTTCCGGGGTTCCTCCAGTCTCAGTCAGACCATTAAGTCTGGTCTTCTTACTAGAATTTGAGTTCTGCACCCCACCTCTCTCCTGCTCCATCAGGGACTCTCTGCTGTGTTCCCTGTTGAGATGGGCCCACACAAGTCTACACAGGGGGAAGATCACTCGAAGTCCATGGATCCCTTATGCCTGTGCCTGGGCAAAGGAGCTGTGCCTACCCTTGGTTCCTGGCTTTGGGGAGCTGGCAGTTTATTTTTTCCCATTTGTTAATTTGTTCACTCTCCAAGGCAGGGAGAATAGCTCCAGGCATTTGACGGATTCTACTTCCAGCCCAGGGGACTCAGCAATTGCTGAAGCCAGTCTGGGACCCAGTACAGAGCAGGGACCGGGGAGGTAAACAGGAGAGAGGTTTTTCCCTAAGGGGGGTGTTTTTGATCCTCTCGGTAGGCCGTACGAAATTACTTATCTTTCGCAGATGAGGGCTGTTTCTCACTGGTTCTGGGTGGCCGAGTAGACCCTCAGTGGCTGGGTATCTCCCGGTGTAGAAAACGTGCCTCCTGAGCATGGCTGATTGCCCGCCTCACCACTCATACCCGCGCTGATCAGGCCTGAAGGGCTCAGGCTCTCGCTGGGTCAGGTCTGGCAACTTCTCACTGCTTCCAAACTCTCTCTCCCTCCCCCTGCCACTCAGTCTGGTTCCTCAACTCTGCCTTTGATGTTCAGGGCTCCCAGATTCCCATATATAATCAAATTACTTGTTTTTTCGGGTCTTTGTTGAAAGAGGGTCCACTGGAAGCGTCTGACTACTCCACCATCTTGGCCCCGCCTCAGGAAATGAGATTTTTCAATATGAAAACATATACTGTAATTGAAAAGTATTTGCACCATCAAAATTAAGTTATTTTCAAAGAGATGTCATGAAGCAACCATAGCCACTATTAATTGTATATACACTCTAACAGCAGACAACTCTGTCCTATCATATATGGTGATTCAAAATTACTTATGTACAACTAAAATACCTATGTATTATATGGAAAACAGTATCAGATTAAATAAAATTTAATTGACAATGTTTTATATTAATATATTCTTCTGTATTTAAATACTATTATGAATACTATAGGTCTTCCATAAAAAGTAACCCTCAAAAATAATTAGCACATAATTAGTAACATAAAACCAAAATAAATTGAACTCGGCTGCTTAAAATAATGTCTAGATATAATATGTAGGATTTTTTTAAAAAACCACATGCACACACACACACACAACAACTGTTTTCGTTTTAAGAATTTTGGCTGCCGTCTTCCAGCACGAACTTCTATGTAAAGTTTCTAAAGTAACAATTTGAATAGAAATTTTTTTATTTCAGTCAAAAGACAAGTTTAATTTTAAGTTTTAGCAATAACACTGCAATTTCAAGATTGATAACAAAAATATCTGAACTGAAATCTAATGAAAAAAGCTGCTCTGTTAGAAAGGCATTACTGGAGTGGCCTTGTTGTAATAAGACGAAGGAACCTCTTCGCCAAACATAAATTACTAAGAACATGTCCCTCAATTTGCATGCTCAGTTATTTGTTGAATATGGGACTAAATGTTAAGAAGATTAATGAGTTAGTAGATAATTTACTTGTTTTTAGTTAAGATTTAAAGTACAATTTCCTCTAAAAATTAATAGAATTATCATATAATGAAATTCTAACATACATTTCTGAAGAATAATTTTTCCACGTATAAAAAACAAAGACTGTTGCCGTTGAGTCGGTTCTGACCCTATAGGACAGAGTAGAACTGCCCCATGGGGTTTCCAAGGAGCAACTGGTAGATTCAAACTACCGATCTTTTGGTTAGCAGCCAAGCTCTTAACCACTGTGCCACCAGGGCTCCACTTTTCCACATATATTCTCCCTTTATTATCTAGCACTCAGGCCCCATGAAACTGGGTAAGCTTCCACAGAATACTCTATCTTGGCTTCCCCATGTGAAAAAGGAGAATACCTGATTTTCTGTACCTTTAGATAAAAACTATCAGCTATAATCTTAGAAAGAAGCCCTGGTGGCACAACGGTTAAGCGCTCGGCTGCTAACCAAAAGGTTGGTGGTTCAGACCCACCCAGTGGCTCTGCAGAAGAAACACCTGGTGATCGGCTTCCGTAAAGATTACAGCCAAGAAAATCCTATGGGGCAGTTCTACTCTGTCACATGGGGTCGCTGTGAGTCAGAATATACTCAACAGCACCCAACAATGACAACGTAATCTTAGAATATTATTTTATTAATGAATTTAAAATTGAAACATAAATATTAAAACAAAGTTTAAATAAAATATAATTAAGACATAATATTACAATATGTTGATAGCTTGGGCTCATCTATTTAATGCTTTTTGATACCATATCTTCATTTTATAAATACAAAAAAGTCTTAACATCATTTTCCTGCTATTAAATCTTTGCTGACAGTGAATAAAAACCTACCAGGTGTTCTTTTTCTCCTGACAACTAAAGGGGTTTCGACTACGAAGTGAAAATTAGCAAGATTTTACCACATTATGATGATGATTTTCTTCAGAGGCAAATTTGACAATGAATTGGCTTCCAATGCAGGGTTGCAAGAAGCCTGCAAAAATACAGGCTCTGTGTATATTCTTCTCTTTTATGCTTTTAAGGTCAATAGCAACAATAATAAATGGAAGGGTCAGAGTACAGAAATACACACACACACACACACACACACACACACACACACACTTTAATAACGATGACAAGTGAATTCAAGCTTCTATTTGAAGGCTGTCATGAAAAATCTGTCAGCGAAATTTAAAATAAAAACCCTCTGCTAAAGGAAAGAGACTGTCATTCAACCAAAATATCTTTTCAGAGATGAATGTCTTGTGCTTCTTAGAAATGCCTAGAGATTTAAAAAAAAAAAAAAAAAAAGTTAAAGATATTTTCAGATTAGTAAATGGTCACGGGCTAACCTGAAAGATCCAGTTTTGAATGCCTCAGCAATGTCAAAGTCTTGGGCCCAGACCAATTCCTGAGAAGATTCCATAAATATCTTCTGTCTGTAAGTCGGCTTATTTTCAATGGTACAGAAGCTGTAACTCCAATCAAGTAGGCCAAACGATACTACATTTTTACGTCTTTATAGAAGAAAGAAAATTAATCTTTCACTGAGACTTCTCAGTAGGGGATAAACAAAGAACGAAAATTAGTTGTACTCAAGAGTTTGCTGCTGAGATCATGGTGGGGACAGACAAGTATACAAATTTCAAGGAAGTATGACAAGTGCTATGAGATATTTCTAAAGAGCTATGGGAAGGACCAAAGAGCTATGGGAAGGACCATGGTTGATTGAATCAGGAGGTACCTTCTAAAGGAAGAGACATTTGAACTGAGTTTGAGGAATGAAAAAGGCTGCCAGGCAGACAGGAAGTACAGAGAAGGGAGACGGAACACCTGCCAAGGCATGGCAGCCAGCTGGGGAGCCGTTGGAAGCTAGGTGGGGCTAGTGTACAAGGCGTGTGCTGAGGAGTTCAAGAGAATAAGCAGGCAGAAGTAGGATAGGGTCAGGCTTACATGCAATGGTGACTTTTATTCTGTAAGGGAAGGAGGAGCCAATAGAGGTTTTTAAAAGGAAATGACACGATCAGACTTGATACTGAAGAACTTACCTCTGGGAGCAGTGTAGCTGAAGGACTGGCTACCTTTGACAGCAATTAGAAGGCTGCTGTAATAACCTAGATAAACTATGACTAGAGTCTGAACTAAGGCAGCAGCACTGGGTGTATTAATATTAATACATTAATTTTGCCTTAATGTATGTATGTGTGTGTTTTTGAAATAGAGATAAATCTCCCACAGAGACCAAGAATTAACACTCAAACCTGAGGTTTTTAAGACATCTGAGGAAAACTATTATATTTAACAGTTATTTTTACTCAACATGTGGAAAATGTGTTAGTCTTATTTATCAGATACTTATATGGGTTACTTTTTTAAGCATTTGAAATGTGCTAATGAAAGAATATCTATGTACTGTAGACACAGAATATATATGCACTATAGTACTCCAGTGGAGCCCTGGTGGTGCAGTGGTTAAAAGCTCAGCTGCTAACCAAAAGGTCAGCAGTTCAAGTCCACCACTCACTCTTTGGAAACAATGTAGGGCAGTTCTACCCTGTCCTATAGGGTCACTATGAGTCAGAATTTGGGTTTTGGGTCTTTTTACAGCACTCCAATTAATCTGTTACCTCAAACTGTAGTTTGCTATGTTTCTTAAACAATAAAATTGCTCAAATATACTTTCATGTTCATACATTAAGGCAATATTGTTTATAACCCAACTTTACAAATTTACAAAGATCCTCATGAAGGATTTTGATGTAGCATCCTTTTATCCTAGGTCCTTAAGAGAATCAAATGAGGGGTGATCACAAATACAAGATGATCACTGATGAACAAAGGGTTACCCAACAGGCTTAAATTATAGCTCATTCATTCATTCACTCATTTATTAGGCACCCATTTATTAAGAACCTGGGGACTCTGAATACAAAGACAGACCAACATATAAGCGCTACTACAGAGGCTTAACGAGGTGACTCAAAAACAGAAAAGAGAGAGCTCTCACATCTTGGAGAGCTCAGGAAAGAAAGACCTGAGTCTTGATGATTATGAGTTTATCAGTCAAAGAAGAGAGGGGAAGGCATTCTGTACCCAGGAAATAACAAAAGCCCATTAGCAAAAATTCTCTTGATCAATTTCCCTACTTGAAAAAATCTGAGAACTAGAATACAGAGTAAGTGGGTGGGGTAGCATGGGATAAAGCATTCTTCATGCCATGCTAAGAAGTTCTGATTTCATCCCACAGGAAATACTGCAGCATTTAAAGAATTTTGAGCAGACGACAGATATGGCAAGATTTGGATTTTTAAAAGATCATGCAGGCTAAAAGATTAGACAGGCCAATGAAACAAAATAAGACTGAGGGGGGCACACCAGCCCAAGGGCAAGGACAAGAAGGCAGGAAGGGACAGGAAAGCTGATAACTGGAACTTTCTCACAACCATGCTGCAGTCTGAAGCTCTTCCTACACAATCTATCCTTCTCCATCTCCTTTCCCAGGCATCAGCTTGTACGGTGAAGGCTCTTCCTGCCTACTTCTCCTCCTTCCTTCTTTATCCTTCATGAGAACTCCCCCAACAAATCTCTTAAATATTTAATCCCATTTTAGCATCTGCTCCTCAGAGGACTCAGACTGACACAAAACGATATGACAAACCGACACCTCCGGTAGGATGTCAAGTAAGCAACTGGAGTGACAGATACGAACCTTGGATTAGGACGACCCTACCCCAAGGCTGCAGGCCCTTAGGAGTACTCCGCTACTTTATAACACATTGTTGAATGTGCTAACAGCTGGAGAGTGGCTGTTGGCAAGAGGCAGGCAACATAGGATATTTGGATGAGGCTTCAGAAAACTTAAATTATAATATGGCGTTAGAAACCATATATAGAGGAATCTTTTAGCATCCACCATAGTCCTAACTTTAATCTGTATATAAATACGTGATCCTATGATTCTTGGATCTTTATGCCAGTAATGCAATATGAGATCTGGGCTATGGGTTTGCTCTGCCCCTTCCAAGAGCAAGATGCTAAGTATAAAAGAGATAAGAGAGGAAAAGTCAATATCCCTTAGTACTTGAGAACTGAGTGTTCCTCTAGCTAGTGGAAGCCTTTCCAGCAAAATGCTATCTGACTGTGCTCCAATAACACACTTAATCCCCTTAGCACTGTACTTACGAACGTATTTTCAAAGCTTTAATTAGCTATATAGATGATTATGGGATGTGTTTGTTCATGTTGTAAAATATTTTAATACTAATTCTGTCTCAACCTTACCTTGAACTTCTTCCATTTCCTTTGTAATTTGCCAAATTATTGTGCGCACAGTTGAAACCAAGAATAGTTACTAATGGTAATGATAATGATGTACTTTTATTCATAAACCCCACAGAAATTGCATCTTCATTCCAATCTTCTAAATGGTTGAATTCTCTAAGTGATTATGACTTTCAATGTTTAGGTTTGCAAAAATCACTACAGTAAAACCACTCATGTTTAAGCCACATAAGCTGCCAACACTGGGCACGCACCCAGCTATCTTGGCCTAAAGATATGCTCACCTAGGTAGAAGCCACCTGTTACCTCCTAAAAGGAAAACACAGAATTATAGTTCTTAGAAAAGATCTACAGTGTGTGTAGATAAGGAAAGAAAGAAATCAAGATAATTAAATTTGTATTACAGCTGTTCTACAAAAACATGGTAATCTTTCTATTATTCTAAGTCAAAAGTGTTACGTCTGCACACTTTTTATCTCAAGACAGTGCAGACAGTTATTAAGTAATCTATGCAAAGTTGCACTTGATATTGAAGGCTATGTAAAACACTGAAGTCCCTGGGTGGCACAAATGGTTAATATGCTCTGCTGCTAACCAAAAGGTTGGAGGTCCGCCCCAACTCAGAGGTGCCTCGGAAAAAAGGCCTGGCTATCTACTTCTAAGAAATCAGCCGTTGAAAACCCCATGGAGCACAGCTCTACTCCGACACACGTGGGCTCACCATAAGTCAAAATCAACTCAACAGCAACTGGTACTAGTAAAAACGGTGAATCCATTTCAAACAACCACACTGGTAGTAGAATTCAAACTTCAGATTCTCCTTGCATCTAGAGGTCAAATGACATTATGTATTTGCCTCTAATGAATACATCAGAGATCATTAACAAAGGCTCTAAATGTTTTTGTAGTCTAGATACATCTTTTCTCTAAACATTAGTGAAAACTTGTAGTTTTACATAAAACTATCTTTATCTCTCTTACAATCTTCTTATCTGAAATGAAGTAACCTAGAAGTTGCAATCAAGCACTTGGGCAAAAAATGCATTCCACTTTTGCAGATTGAAAAGCAAAAACAAACCCTAAGTAATCCCTCAGTCTATGTGTGCAATTTATAGTCTGTCAAATTTAGCACTGACCTACCATCAGGACTATAGGTATTACAGCAGTAATACTAAGCATTATTAGAGATATTTGCAGATTAGCAAACACAAGATATAAAATGCAGTTGATAAAATACCTAGTTCCCTTTAAGACATTAATGAACACTGCAAGGGTAAGATTTTATATTCTATTTTTTGTTGTAGAATAGATGGATCACGTTACATAAAGAAAAAAACAGATTTACCTTTTTGAGCGTCTGGATCCATTAAGCGATTAATTAATGGATGGCTATACTTCAATGTTTTCTTGAACATTTCTTGAAGACTAGGCAAATAATACATTAGAATATCCAACAGTGATAAATTCAAAATGTGTACTGATTGCTTTAATATTTACCTACTAATGTTTAATTTCAAATATAACAGGGATAATTATTCTAAAATATTCTATATTAATAAATTATGATTTAAGACCATCTAAACACAATCTATCTAGTACAAATCTATATTAGAACAAAGACTTAGTGTCAGAAATTTTAGAAGCTACTAAAAAAAGAAACAAAAGAAACATTCAACTGACTACTTTAGCTGTCACAAAGAAAGGTATCATCTTTATACTGACTAGTAAGATAGCAATCCTAAACTTTAAGAGGTGATTAAAACACTGGGAAAAAATGGGTTTAGTTCAGAGCTGTGAAAACCATGGTATTAATCTAATACAAGGTCTTCTTCAGAACAATAGACGCAAAATTCAGTTGTTCCCTCTGATGCATCATTAGCACGCATGCAATGTCAAACAGCCCACCTGCCAAATGGTTTTTTGAGTAGCTTGTACTTCAAAGAGTCCACAAAATCTCAACAAACATACATAAAACTAAAGAAATTAAGGTATTTTATGCCTCTAAAATAGAGCATATAATGTGAACAAGCTTAAATATGTTGCTATTCAAACTGGGGAAAATAACAATTTGACGTTTACATCTTAATTTTGGGTCCTATAATAAATAATAATTACACTATCATGAATTAACATAGTACTCCTTTCTTCCAAGGATCTCAAAACACTTGTCATAGTCACTACATTTTTCCTTACAGTATCCCTCAGTTAGTTAAAAGACAAATTATTTTCCCTACAGTTTACAAAGGAGGAAAACAAGAAGGCTAAGTCACTGAGGTCACATACTAAACAACAGCAAAGGTGGTCACACATTCTGTTCCCTATTTAGCATTCCTCCCACTAAATACAGCAGTCTTTATTATACATGCTTGCCTATAAGTCCAATATTTGTTAAATGTTAAATCTGAACATACCTAAATAAGGCTGAGTTTCTAGAAGGTTAAAAGGTATCATCCACAACTTTTGTTTTCCTGGCGAGACCTCTAATAGTGCCTGAAAGAATAGCAACAAAGCAAGCGGTTTACTATTGTAACACACTGGCAACAAGTCCACACAGAAGGGATTAAGAATCCTGACAGCTGCAGCTTCAGAGCCCTCGGTATACAGCAATGCAGTTTTGGAATGCCCATAAAGGGCTGAAGAACAGTAGGATTATTCCACGTGAGTGTCTGATGATAAGAACAGAGCAAGAGCTAGCAGGTGAATATAAACCAGTCCTGTGAGTGAGTGAAAACTATCTGGGGGAGGTAACCCAGTTTTTTAACTTTGATGCCAAGAGTTATTCTAAGGCTCTATGGCTGTGGCGTGCTATCAAATGGAGGCCGTGGATTTTTCATGTCACTTGTCTTGGTGTGAAAATCACTTTCTGAATGAGACAACTGCACCAGAATATTTGAGAATGTGTGCAGCATTGCGCTGGACCCCGGAATCAAAGTAGGTGATCTTCTCCTTATCCAGACTGAACAGGAAGACTGAGGATGGATGACTATCTGTCCATGTGCACATGAGCATATATGTGCCTCTCAGAATACTTGTTTCTCTTGTCACTGAAGGTATCCCCAGTAGTTATTATGGGTAACAAAATCAAGCAGCATTATAAAATTAAACCTAGGAGGAGGGTGAGCACTGCTTCTAAGAAACACCTTATATGCCATGATTTATATAAAGTTGAATCAAGATCATTATTAATATATTGGACAGAAGTAGGAGTCTGGGGCCTGATTTTAGTTATTCCTGTCAATAATTAGCTTATTGTTTTAACACATTTACTTAGTATGTTTCTTGGCTTCCTCATCTACAAAAGAATATAAAAGGCACACAGTATACATGTGTGTAATGAATACTTTAGGTTAAAACACTGGAAAGTTCAAAATCCTAACCAATGCAAAGTATTACTCATAGGCAGTTAATTCAGGGCAGAGGATTTGCCTCTTTCTTGGCTCTTTTTAGAACAAGCAGAAAGTGTCATTTGCTGAATAAAAATCACCTGTCTTTTTCAAGGAGTTATTTAAAAGATTATGCAATCCTCAGTGTTGGATTTCTTCACAGACAGAATCCTTAAATCGATCATCCTAACCAACACGATGACAGTGATTCTTTCAGTTATATTAAACTGTTTATTAAGTACAGAGACTTCCGCCTCCAGACATAAGCAGCCCATAGCAGACCTCTGCTTCTACTGACAACTAGAAGAGCAGATTTTAAACACACATGTGCACACACACACAAACACACACACCTAACAGAAGACATCAGAGAGCTGCCACGGCCGCCAGAAATCTTGTGCATTTGCTGATGTGTGTAGAGAAAGAAGCTGAGAAGCCAAAGACAGCACAACTCAAGGGCGCCAGCAGAACTTTAGGCAACGTCATAGGCGACCTCATAGAACAGGGGAGACAAATAGTGTTTGGGGCTGTCAAGGCAGCCAGGAATTGAGGGCCCGAGAATACAGGAAGAAGGGACGGAGGAGCAAGCCTGACGCTGAGCACTGACTTTTCACTCAAGCCATTTCCTGATAAAGCTGTCAGGACAAGCGGCTAATTTGCCAAGCATTAAGTAGCTAAAATCAGAGAAAGCTCCAACGAAGAGGGAAACGCTCAGGCTATTAGTTGGTACCCCTGGAAAACTACCTTCTAGGAATGGGAAAAAATGAGAGGAGTCTTATAGACTGTAAACCAGCCTTGAATCCATTTTGTCGCTGATCAGCTTGTTCTTAACCTAAGCACCCAGTAGTTTGGGTGTTGTTACTGTGAGATGTCTCAGCAGGAGCAATCTTAAAATAACCTCAGCTGGTCCACGCTGAAGAAACATCTGTGTTAACAATAATGAATCCCTGGAAGCCACTCCTAGAGCTGGCCAACCTATACCAGTTCAATTATAGACCTGAGCCCCCAAATCCATTTACACAGAAGTCAGCTTTTGACAACGTAAGTATTTTAAAAGCCCAACATCATGGTACAGAGGTTCCCATACAGTTAGTGCTCCCTATATAGGTTTTCTAATTATTTGCAATAACCATAGAAAACATATTCTTGTAATATGTTCCAGTAGTGAGATTCCCTCTTGTTATTCTTTCAACGGGTGCCTGAGGGAAAACAGGAAGCAGCAGGATACAGGCCTTTATGTAGTTGTGTGGGACTGCCACTACTGTGGTATGAAAAATAAGGATACTTTTCCTCCTAAGTCTGAAAGTCAGAAGGAAGGCATATTTAGAGTGAGTGCTGATGAGTAGAAATCCTTCTTTAAAAAACGAATATGGTCAGAGAGCATCAGACGTTGGAAATACGAATAGACAACACCTGTGAATGTAAGGAAATAATCAATGAAATAGAAAACACCAGAAAAAGTAACATATTAGGAAACAAATAATTATAAAGTTTAGCACTCATATATTTAAAAACCACACACCAAATACAAAGACTGTGCAAATTTGTTTAATTTTATTATTTCCTCACAGCAAATTCATTAGGCAATATTACAGAAATACATGTATATATACACACAGGCACAGAAAATAGATATTCTTACATTAGGTTTTCCTTTTCCTTCCTCCTGCATTCCTCAGTTTCCTCTTTTTCTTTCCAAACACAGACCTGGCGGTCACCAGGACTACTTTTGTTTTCTCTTCATCATCATCACTAGAGCTGCTGGTAGTCTCACCTTCATCCTTTACATGACTGTGTTTCACTGTGTTCTGCAAATCTGAAGGGCTGATTTTTGACTCTTTAGCTGCTTTTCCCCTTCGGATGTTAATTAAAGATAAACTTTCAGCATCCTCGCCTGAATATGCATCAGAGGATTCTGAGAGGTAGGCCTCCCCCAAAAACCCACCACGTTCATTCTCTCGTTTAGAATCAGAAAGCCTCTTTCTTTTCAGGCTTGATGAATCTTTCAATTTATTTGCTACACTTCTCTTCTGGGTTTTTCCTTTTACCTTATCAAGTAACTCAAATTCTTTCTCCATAGCAACAGAAACTGCTTCTATTTCACTGGCTTCTTCTTCCCGTTCCTTCCTCAGCATACATGTGACAGCTCTGCTGAGTCTCTGGCTCTTAATACCCTTAGCATCTTGTCTCTCCTGTTGAGCTAATCGAAAGAAGGAATCAATTCGAAGCTGCGTCTAAAAAAAATAGAATAACAATAAATTAGACAAGCAAGGTTTCTAAAACAAATCAAAGATCCCAACCTTAATCACTGGCGTTGGACTATTATGTCAGAGAATACTAATTTATTATGTCTCAAAAACTGGTTCTCTCCCAAATGAATTAATCTATATCGTAAGTAGTACTTATACCAACCTTGGCAACTGTCTACATCTCAAATATGAAAATCTCTTACCAAGCACTCAAAAAGTGTCACATATTTTTTGGTAGCCACATCTATTGCCTTCCTTTGCAGCAACATAATTTTAGAGGGTCTATTTCTAAATTCTATTTTCTTCTTTAAAAAACACTACCATTCAATTTCTTTAGGAAGCAATATCACAGTCTATATTATGAGTCATAAGAAATATTCATGTCTTTGGTTCAACAAGTGTACTTTTAGGAAGATTTTTTAAAAGAGTTTACATATGAGAAAAACTATATGCCTAATATTCATTACAGCATTATTTATGAAAAACTGAAATATAAAGGTCTAACAAGTAAACTGAACTAATTAAGTCAAATTCCCTTGATGGAATGTAATCTGGTCATTTGAAATTATGAAAACTATGCAGTAACACAGAAAAAAAAAACTTTATGTTAATAAGTGGGGGGGATATAAAGTTGTAATTATTTGTTACCATACTTAAATGCAACTTATAATTAAAAACTAAATAAATGCGTGAATGGTGAAGGAGGGGAAAATAAAAGGAAATAAACCTAAATGTTAAGATCTGTGTTAGAGGAGATAGAGGAGTAATTTTAATTTTTTTCTAATTTTGGGAAAATAAATTTACATTAACTTCAAAATGTAAAGGGGGAAAGTGTTCCAATAAAATTCTCTGAAACGAAGGAGTGATCAGTCACTAAGCCAAACAGAATTCCTTCTCTGTTGGCTCATAATATTTTCAGTTGAGAAAGTCATCAGACAGAAAAGGGGGAACCCTTTCTAGAAATGTGGTTTACTCCAGTTTTTGTTTCTTTGCTTGTTTCCAAAATTAACCAAACCTAATAGAAATTGATTTAATTTAATATATGGTCTTAAAGGATATGGCCTCATTTCTGCCAAATGGTTTACTTGTATGTGTATTTCGTGAATTTGTTCTGGGGAGGGAGACTTGGTTTTGAGTGGGTAGAAACATACTCACAAGCAAATCAAGATGTAGTTACCTACATGGGTGAACTAAAGACCACAGTTTTCTCTTGAAAAACCTCCCTTACCTATATAGACTTTTTTTTCGTTGTTGCTGTTGTCTGTTTGTCTCAAAGTCAGAAAGTACAACAAAGTCCAGCCCTAAGTGTGATATTAGACAACAAAGACAAAGTCAAGTGTTTCTATTTTCTTGTTCCCTTATCTGAAGTACTGTCGTTTTAAAATGTATGTGCTATGCCCTAAAGTAAAAGAGTTAACTGGTCTTTAGTAGCTGCCAATCATAACCTTAATAAGTTTATTCTCTCTCCTGAACTTAGGAAAAAAGCCCACTATGATTACCTGCTGGGCATTCAGTTGCTTTAATACCGGAAACAGAGATTCATCCGTCTTAGTTCTGCTCCAGCCAAAATACCGCTGACAAAATATGCAGGCAGTTAAGACTTATAAATGTTTTTAAAGATATTTAAAGAAGTGATAAATCAAAAAGTCAAAAAAAACCGACCCTTGAATCCCCACATCGTCAAAGATTTTCATGGTTATAAAGACTGAAGTGGGAAAAGAAAAGAATAACAAAACAAATTACACCAATATAACCATCTGGCACTGTGTTCTTTTCAATATCCTCTAAGGTAAAACACAGCCAACTATTATTTTAGGACATCAAAGACTCTGAATAGCAGTTAATTTCTTTGAGGATAAAAAAACAAAAAGACTGTAGTTTAATTAATTCTATTGCAAACTTTCCAGCATCTATTCAAATGACACACCAGAAAGAACACCAGTAATAAAAAGGACAAAATGAATCATCTTTTCTCCTTCAGACTAATATTTAAGTATGTGGTTGTATCTGTGAATGCTGAGCACTGCTTATTTCAAATAAATATCCTCTTTAAAATTAAGAAGAGGGAAAAAGAACTATAAGGAGATTCTTAGGTAAATGGAATATAAGAAAAAAACTGATTCAAGTTCATGTGTCATAAGTTTTATACCAAAACGCATATTTAGCTCAATATTCCATTACGTTTAAAGAAAGAAAAGGATATTCTCTAATTTTTGCAAGGTCAGGTTTCCCCCACAGAAACGATCCCCTTGAGTCATCCACGACGGGCTTGAGGTAAGCTTCTGCCACAGATGGGTTAGGGAAACCAGGCGTGAGTTGCAACTTCCGTAATTTTTTTTTCACTTTGGTGTCATAAGGATTAGGTCTTATCTTCTTATTATCCTGTGCTTCATGCCACCACTGTCTATAAGGTAAAAGGGAAATAATTATTTAGAAAGCAATGAAGACACTGTAGTAGATGCACTGTAGAAAAAAAGCTACACTTGAAGTCAAAAAAGAAAAAAAAAACCAAAGCAATTGTGTCAAGTAGATTTCAACTCGAATTCAAGTCCCAATTCCAAAACAAATTATATCATCTATAGAATAATATTATTACTTTTGATATTATTAACAACAATGTAAAATGATGGTAAACATGTACTAAATGTTTACTCTCTGCGTGGTACTGTGTTAGTTATTTTACACGCCCAATAATCATAAAGCAGAGTCCTATCGTTAACCTCACCTTCCTAAGATGAGGAAAGTGAACTCAAAAAGAAGTGCCTAACTTGTTCAGGGTTTCACAGCTAGAACTGGTACAGTCAGGACCTGGTCATCTTCCTCCAGAGCCCTCACTCACAGTAACATAAAAGTCACAACTTCTCAGACTCTTTCTCAATGGTAAAATAGAAGTAACAGATCTGCATTATCCAGCTTGAATTAAATAGTGAATCAATAATGGACCCAAGAATATTTAGTAAAATGCAAAAATGCCAAGAACATGTTAAATTTAAGAAGTGGAGGACAAAACTGCACAAAAAGTCTGATTCCAATTTTTGAAAAAAAATGCATATATGTGGAAAAAAGTAAACAGATATATTTACAGTAATAAAAACGACTATCATTTTATTGTGGGCTATGCAACGTTCTAAGCACTTTACCTGTTAACCTATTTAATTTTCATATCCCAAATATTTAAGTATTACTCAGTTTTCTCATTTTACAAATTTGAAAACAGATACTTATATAGCTATAAAAGATTAGAATGGAATATGTCTGTTGAAGTGGCTCTCTTTCTGAGAGGTGAGAACACAGCTGTTCATTTTCTTCTTTATATTTTATCTATTTTTTCAATTTTTTTTATTATGAGCATAAATTATTATGCTAGGTTAAAGACCCAACAGGCAGTAGTTTGAACACAACAAAGAGATACTACACGGTTTAAAATCAGGAAAAGTGTGCACTGGGGTTGTATCCTTTCACCATACTTATTCAGTCTGTATGCTGAGCAAATAATCAAAGAAGGTGAACTATATGAAGATGAATTTGGCATGAGGATTGGAGGAAGACTCATTAACAACCTGCAATACACAGATGACACAAACTTGCCTCCTTAAAGTGAAGAGGACTTGAAGTACTTACTGATGATGATCAAAGACCGCAGCCTTCAGTATGGTTTATACCTCAATATAAAGAAAACAAAAATCTTCACAACTGGACCAATAAGCAACACCATGATAAATGGAGAAAAGACTGACGTTGTCAAGGATTTTACTTGGCATAAATCAGCAAATCCACAATCAACACCCATGGAAGCAGCAGTCAGGAAATCAAACCACATTGCATTGGGCAAATCTGCTGTAAAAGACCTCTTTAAAGTGTTAAAAAGCAAAGATCTCACTTGGAGGACTAAGGTGCACCTGACCCAAGCCATGATGTTTTTAATCGCCTCATATGCGCAAGCTGGACAATGAATAAAGAAAACCCAAGAAGAACTGATGCCTTTGAATTATGGTGTTGGTGAAGAATATTGAACATACCATGGACTGCCAGAGGAACAAACAAATCTGTCTTGGAAGAAGTACAGTCAGAATGCTCCTTGGAAGCAAGGATGGTGAGACTTCATCTCACATATTTTGGACATGTTATCAGGAGGGACCAGTCCCTGGAGAAGGACACCATGCTTGGTAAAGTAGAGGGTCAACAAAAAAGAGGAAGGCCCTCAATGAGATGGACTGACACAAGCATAGCAACAATGGTGAGGATGATGTAGGACTGGGCCGTGGTCCGTTCTGTTGTACACAGGATTACTATGAGTCTGAACCTACTCGATGGCATCTAACAACAGGTTAAATATGGTCACACATTCTTCGATCTTCTCTCATCAGGAAGTGTGATCCATGTCCCTTCCCCTTGAATTTTGAGCATTCTTTCACTGCTTGACGAATATAATATACTTAAGAAGTGACACTGTGCAGTCCTTAAGAGACTGCATTTCTACTTTCTGTCTCTTGGAATATCTGCTCTTGGAACCAGTGGACATACTGTGAGGAAGCCCAAGTTCATGCAGGCCCAAATGGAGAAGATCAAAGACCCCTGGCCAACAGCTCCACCGGCGCTCCCAGAGGACAGCCAGCACCGACTTACCAGCCATGTCTGTGCCTGAGCCATCTCAGTGGCTCCTCCACCCAGATGAGCTGCCTCAAGTGACAACACATGGAACAGACACAAGTCATCTCTACTGAGGACTGATCAAACTTTGGGTTCATGGGCAAAATAAATGACTGCTGCTGTTTTAAGCCACTGAGGTTTAAGGTAGTTTGTACCACAGGAATGGATCATCAGAAAATCTTTTATAATTAGAAAAAGAATATAAAAGTTAAAAACACAACACAACCCTCATCAATCTACATTCAATGGAACCTAAAAAGCACCTGTATCGCAGGTTCTACTGCTCCACATATTTATTAACACTAGGAACTGATTGCTATTTGTGTCCCAGTCAGTGTTTGACCTCACTCATGCAGGAGTGCCATCTAGCATTAAAAAAGCATAACTGCAGTCTTCATCGTACAGTATCTTTTTTCATCCGTTTTACAGTATTGTTTTCAAGAGTTCACTGGGGGAATACTTATAATTCTCCCACACTCTCCTTTTGTCTTTTCTCTCTGAAACAGTAATCTGATTGCCAGCTAAGAGTATTAGCACAACACACTGTGAACCCAGCAAGCCTCCCTCTAGTAAGAAAACCAGGTACTTAACATAAAAATAAAAATGGCATTTGTCAATTAGCTTAGCTGTGGGGAAGACAGCAGAGAGTGGTGACAACTGTGATGTAATTGCAGGATGCATGTCCTGACTAAGGTGGTGGGGTGGGAGAGAGGAACTGCTGTTACTCCATACCAGCTATTTGGGGACATTTGGGAAGTTGGGCCCAGCATCGCCAGATCTCCTTCTCCCTCAAGAAAATCCAAAATTTCCTGTGAAATCTCCCCCAATTTGTTTGGAAGCTATTTCAAGATTAAAGCTCTATAGAAGAGTACAGCAAGTAGGCCGAACCAAACAAGCTGAGGCTGAATTCTGCCTGCAGACCCCAAGTACCTCTGCTTTAAAGGAGGAGTTACTAGCCAGAGTCTGGCTAGAGAAAGAGAAAGCAGAAAGGAAAGCAAGTCAACATTCTCAATGTTACTGCTCTGCTGCTCTTTTTGCTCTTTAACTCTGCGTCCTCCTAACCCACCAGCCAGGGCTGAGACTGCTCCTGAGCCAAGGAAGCTAGAAGACCAAGGGCAGAAACTGTGATGACTCGAAAAGTTTAGCTGCTTCTACAAAAATGTAAACAATTCAATAGGCAACAAATGAGCAAAAACTGTTGAACAAAGGAAAGGAAAATGACATAATGGCCATTCACTAAATCAGAAACACAAATTGTTGATATACATGAAAAAAATACTAACCTCACTACTAATTAGGAAATCAGATTAAAAAGTTAGATACCATTCTCACTTATCCTAAAACAATAATCAGGCAAAAACTCAAAGACATATACATAAGGACACTCAAATAAATATTTGTTTATACTTTTAAAAAATATAAATTTAAAAATAATTAATCATTACGCACCTCAAAAAAGACTATTGTGGAGCCATTAAAAACAATAATATAAATCTATACATTGCTGATAACATGCCTTTTTGTACCACTGAATGGGCTGCAGGCAACAGAAAAAGTATATGTAGCATGAACTCATTCTTGTTAAAAGTGCGTTTGTGCGCGGGTACAGGTAGTCCTTGACTTAAGATGGGATTTCGTTTTGATGACTCCTTCATAAGTTGGTTCTGATTTAAGTCAAATACCTCTCTTTTTTTAAGTTTTCATTATTATTGCCTTTTATTATTTGTATCTTTATAAATATGATCTTTATTTGTCTTTGGGGGTAAGCATGAGAATAACATCAGCAAATTACACACTGCAACAGTGTATGTAGTACATATTACTAATGATCATAAGATGTACAAAAAAAGAAAACAAACCAGCTCTAAGTGCAGTTCATTGTGCGTCGAATACAGTCATGTGCAGCATAATGTACTAGGCCTATGTCCTACGGCATATACATCCATAGTTCCACAAGGATTTTTTTCGTGTTTTTTTTAAAAGGGAAAGCAGCTCTCCTTTTTTTATTATTTCCCCATAATAGTTTTAAATACTCCAAGTCCCCAGAGTAAACAAGCAGCGGGGCTCTGGGGCAGCGCCTCCTCCTGGCTTCATCTACCCACCCAGCAGTGCCTCCTCCTGGCTTCATCCGCCCACCCAGCAGCCACAGCCGTTCGTTCCCAGCGCAGGACAGCACCTGCCAGAGTTCCTCTGCTCCTGCCGTGGGCGCTGGCCAGGCCAGGGCTATCCCGGGCTCCCAGCTCTCGGTGTAGCAGCGCCTACACATGATCAGGAAGCAGCCACACGAACAGGGCCGCAGCAGCCAGGGCCGCCACTGCTAGCCACAGCCTGGCACCCACACACCTGCTCCCCATGTGGTTACTGCGGCCACCTCTCTGCACCTCCTGTGCACCCCCAAGCCTGCAGCGGGAAGTGAGTAAAATCCCAATCTGGCCACCGGCGCAGACTTGCCCAGCCTGAAGCCAAACATTCAGCAGGGCCGCCTCCTGTACCCAGTGAATACAGCTCTCAGGCTTTGTCTGGAAGGCTCCCATAAGGTTTAATATAATAGGCTTTACAGAGGTTGGTTCATAACTACAGATTGTAGGGGGACTGTCTGTATATAATATGGTGTTCGCAAAATGTCCAAACTGTGTAATGTCCTATTTCACAGAACGTATCATGGACGCTAAGTGACACATGACTGTATGTCATACGTTGGGGACTACCTGACTATATACATGCGTATGTATATGTACACACACATATGTGCCTAACACAAAGAAACTACTCAATAAATAACTAAATGAATAAAATGGCAACTTCTCTACTCCTATGACATCCCACAGGACTGGGCTTTGTACCTTTGAACTAGGATAAGGCCATCACCACTAAAAATACTGACTCTGATTTCATTAAACTCTAGAAAAGAGAGAACAAATTTTTGAAACCCCAACTAATACTTCTTCCTGTTTTCTCCATGAATAATGATTTGTGGCAGCACCTTATGTAAATAATAGTTCAATTTGTTAATTTCAGTATTTACGTAAACTTCTGAATTAAAAATTAAAAAGCATTTACGAGAATTTCAGAAGCGGTTCCAGGCCATGTCCAGGGAATTCATTGAGAATTTCCATGGCTGTTACACAACCTACAGTTGGTATTCCTTCTGTATAATCACTTCCAAGCAAATAGGCCAAATTTATTAATTTGTTCCGATCCAATCCTATAAAAGCAAAAAGAAAGTTATGTATATATCCCCATCCAACAATATTTCTTTTTTACTATTTGAAAGTAGATTCTTTAAGTTCTGTTAAGGTTTTTTTTACAAGTTTCATCCAGTTCTAAAGCTTTAAATATACACTATCCCCAAATTTAGATACCTGGTCTGGATCTCACTTCTGAACTACAATCACACATACCCAACTATCAACTTAACATCTCCAATCCAATGTGCAAAACCAAAAAACCAAACCTGTTGCTGTCGAGTCAATCTCGACTCATAGTGACCCTACAGGACACAGCAGAACTGCCCCATAGGGTTTCCAAGGAGCAGCTGGTGGATTTGAACTGTCAACCTTTTGGTTAGCAGCCTAATGCTTAACCACTATGCTGGATGTACAACAAGCATCTCAAATTCAACATGTCCAAACCTGAACTCATTTCTCCAATACCCTACCCTGCTCCTTCCAGTCTCCCTTGTCTTATCAAATGGCAAGTCCATTCCACCAATTGTTCAGACTCGGCGTCATCTTTGACTTTTCTCCTTCTCTCGCATCATACGCCAAATCCACCTGCAAATCCTTACTACAGCACACCAGACCCTACTTGATTTTGGCCTCCTCCTCCTGACCTCAACTTCTGCCTCCTCCTCATTCATTGCTTCCTTCACACTGCCCTCCTTGCTCTCCTGAACACCCCAGACTTCTGCCTCAGGCCTTTGCATCCACTAGCCCCTTTGTCTGACACTCTCTTTGCCAAGATACTTGCTTCCTATTTTCTTCAGGTCCCTGTCCAAAATTTGCCTATTAGAAAAGCCTTTCCACACCAGCACTCGGTCGAAAAGCAGCACCCCACTCCCTGTCACTCTCTCTTTCCCATTTACTGCTTTATGTTTCCAGATGGTACATACTACCAAATGTCATATCATTTATACAGTATATATAGTACGTATATATATTACTTATGTATTTAACATCTGTTTCACCTACTAGACTTACTGTCTGCTGTATCCCCATTGCCAGGAACAGCAACTAGTACATAAGAGTCACTCAATGTCTGTTTGCTGAATGAATCAAAGAACAAATGATCAATGACAGAAATACTAATACAGAACCATGAGGCTCATGATTCTAGCAAGAGTGACTCCCACCTCTTTCCTCTCTGTACCATCTTTTCTTCACGCTGGAGATCTCAGGGTAATCAGTCACTGCCCAACCAGTCAGGTGGTTAAACTGCAGAAATACCTGAACAAACTTGGATTTTAACTTCTTAATTCTAAGTTTAAAAATCCTGTTACTCTATACAGGCAAAATACCATTTATATAAAAATTCATACAGACCTACCATTTCCATTAATTCATCATATTAGTTCCTTGGAAAGAAAGAATTATAAGTTTGAAACGTAAATTTCAGAAAATGATCATACTCTGAAGTCTTACCTAACTGGTTATGGAAGTCCACGTATTGGTAATATTCTACAAACTTGTTTTTATTAAAGAAGTTTTTATAGACGTGCCGTGCTCCAAACAGCCAGATATCACTATCATCAGTGATTGTTCCGGAAGTCTGATCAGTCAGGTCCAGGATGGCACATTGTGCCTCTGCTTCCATAGGCGCCTCGATATAGGGAATGCCAAACAGGCGAAGAAGTTCCTGAAGAGTTACAGAGACACGGTGACGCCTACGGAAATGCTTTAACCAGTCTTGGTTCAGAAGTGGGAGCAGTGCTTTATTCAACGCATTCCCCGGGGGGATCTGATTAAGTCAAGATCTCAACAGGCATGGCTTACGGAAGCCCGAGGTTAAGTCAACCCACCTGGCTTTCCAGGAACATCTGGCCTGTTACAGTAGCAGCAGCCCGTTCTTGCTGCTGTTTTTGAGCTTTCAGTGAATTCTGCTGTTCTAAAAGGCTGCTCTCCAGAGTCTCCAGCTCTTCCTATATAATAATTACATTTGTAGATAATCATATTAATAATCCAGTTAAGTTCATTTGTTACAAAAAGCCTGTATGCAGTCTGACCAAAATTACCAATAAGCTTTTTCTCCTTATGAAATACTCCATTTGGATTTCTGAGCAAGATATCTTTAGAGTTCCCTCACTAAATCACATGGAAAGCAAAGTCTATCCCAGACAATTACCTACATAAAAAAGGAGCCATCAGCAAGAACAAGAAGATGCATGCAAATAACTAACAAATATTCATCCAGTGACTCCTTAAAACTCAAAAGGGCTTATCTTCCTTAGCAGTAAGTTAAAACGCGATGTTATGTTATTACCAAATTAATATCTTGCCATTCACTGAGCGAATCATCTGCATCTTTTTCAGCTTCTCCACGTGGCTCAGTCCCTAAGCCCTCGCTTTCAGAGCTGTCTCTCAGGAGGCTCTCCGCATCCCCAGGGGGTCCTTCCATCTCAGTCTCTACCAGGCCTTCCTCAGCAACTGACTGGTCACCTCGTTCAGAGGAAGGTTTCCAACTTTCCAGGGATTCAGCTTGGCTTTCATCATTACTAATTACACTGTCCACTTCAATGAAACTTCCTGTACCAAGACAACAAAGTCACTTGGCAACTGAGACATTAAAATTATCCTAAAGAAAATGTTTTACTCTAAAAGGAAAACATTTGAATAGATAACATTTAATGATAACTTACAACTATTAAATAAATTTAATTTTAAAATGCCTGTCACTTCAAAACAAGCCTTTTCAATTAGATAAACTGGCATTATCTTTGAAATTAGGAATAAAGCTTTCAAAGATTTATATATTACCTTCATATGAACATGATCTAAATGAACTAATAGTGTTTAAACAATTCAAAAAGGAGAACTATCAGAGCATGTAAACAATTATGGAGGTTGTTAAAATGTTTTTATGCTGTTCCACTATTAACACAGCAAAGAACAAAGCTGTGACTCAGTGGAAAGAATACTACATGAATACTTCCTCCCCTGCTTTCCTTCTCTCCTCTTTTCTTGTCTGGGTCTGAGGAAGAATTCATGACTGAGGAGATGGTTAGGGCTACCAGGGACTGGGGCTAGGGCCGAGGAGGCATACCGGGCCAAGGAGGAGGCCAGTGGGACTGAGGGACTGGTTACATATAGGGAAGGAATAAGCAAATAAGTAAATTTATTGACGATAATGGGAGCAAGGTTTCTCACTGCTAGAAACAGAAATTATACAGAAAGGAGGAGGCTGGAATGAAATCTGTGATGTTAGATTGGAGCTGGAGGTATCAGTGTGAACTCAGGAATTTTAATAGGTAGATAGACAGAAATAAATGTAAATGTGTGTGTGTGTGTATAAATATGTATTTTCTGGTCCTGTCACTGACAGGGCCTGAAGCAATAAAACCCCAGTAACAATAAACACAGCCACCACCTAGATGTTGCTTTCTAAATACCGTGCTTCATGAAAAGGAACCAGGGCTCCCTGGTGAAATGGCTGGCTATAGGGCCAGGGCAGGAAAAATGTAAGATAAGCCTGAAGATCTTGGTCAGAAAGCAAGAAAATGATCTACGTGAGATCAAACTGACAAGAGCAACTCAAAAGATTACATGAGGAGCTTAGGGGGCAGTGAGTTTATGTTAACGGTGGTAGAATAATTTGGAAAAGGATAGCGAGAAAGGTTGCACAACTTGCAAAACATAATTAATGTCACTGAATTCTACATGTAGGAATTACTGAAATGGTGTATCTCTTGCTGTGCATATTTTCAAAAAAAAATTTTTTGAATAATAATGAGGAATTGTCAAAAGTCACAAAAGCCAGCATTAAGGGGCCCCACTAGCCAAAGTTGGAACAACTTGAACAACAAAATAAAAATTATGATAGCATCAGATTATAACTCACTAAATAAAACAGGAATCCATGTGTCCAAAGTGACATAAAAGATAATAAATGGGGAGAAGGGTAGATCTGCATTACAGTAGGATGCTACCTTAATTAATATATAAGGAATGATGGGATTAGAAAACCACCATTTGGCAACCATTATCACAGTAACTTATTCAGGCAAAAATCACCAATGGATGTTAGAACAAGTGGGTGGAAGCCAGTTCAGGAACAGCATATTTACATAGCCCTAAAAATATCTTTCCACAAAATACTTATTAATTACAAAGGCAAGATACAGTAAAACCTGCAAAAGCTGGAACCTGTGTACAGCGGAAATGTGTCAGAGAAGGAAAACTCGACTATTTTCCACTAATAGAGAGCGACAGAAAAATGGTAAGACTGCACCCTGTTAAAGACAGAAAACTTGTGAGAACTGAAAAAACCAGGCAGTCCTGTGGCGTTCCAGCTCTCAAGGGTTTCACTGTAATAACTGTAGAGTGGAGACACCTGGCATACATCAGGAAAAAAACTAAGGCACGTGTGCATGTGGGTGTGCTACAGTGTGTACATAGTGCATGTATTGTGTGTTTGTGTGTGTGTGTATGTATGTACGTACGCATATATATGAAGAGAGAGAATGATGATAAAGCAAATGTGCCAAAACGCTAGAAACTGAGGTACTGGGTAAAGGAGCAAGAGTTTTCTCTAATATTCTTTCAACTTTTCTTAAGTTCACAGTTATTTAAATATAAAAAGTTAAAAAATAAACTGAAGAGAAACTTACCTTTACCTTCTCCAAGGAGGGCATTCTCTCCCTTTACAAACACCAATAAAACGAACAGCAAAACAGGGAAGTGCGAGATTACACTGACTAGTTGTTTGTCCTCGAGAAGGTCATTTAACCTTCTGATGCATTATCAGTAAAAAGTAGAAACAGGACTAGACTGTAAGATGTGTCAGGTTCCACAGATGTGAAAATCTACCATCCCTATCTTATGAGTTGGAATCAACTCGACGACAACAGGTTTGATCCCTCAGAGTATAAGCACCTACCATCAGATTCACCGTCTTCTGAGTCAGTTTCCCTCAGTTCCAGGGACTTGGGAACGGAAATCACATCCCGACTTGCAGATTCAGTTACCTCACTTTCCTGGATGGTTTTCAGCAAATTCTCATGCTGTTTATCACTAAATAACACCACACTTTCTAAGTTATTTAATGTCTCTGAAGGGACAACCGCTGTGCCACCCGTTCCTTGCAGACAGACAGTGCCGCTGATTTCACAAGCACGATTCTCTCCACCTTCCATTTCATCATCACTTGAAAGAACAGAGGAATCGCGTTTACTCTCAGATGTGCCGAGATCGTTTTGGAGCTCAAGACCTTCAGGGTATGTTTCATCCTGCGATACAACAACTGTGCTTGTTGAGGATGCTGGTATCCGTGCTTTTCTATTCTGGAGCCCAGGTGCATCACTGCTCATAAGCACTGTACTCTGTAGAGGAATGGGACTTTTTCCATCCTTTTCCATAGAATCATCACTGGTCTGAAGGCCTTCGCTCACTGGGTGAATAAATGAAATTTGTTCTTTTTGAACACTAGGTTCACTGCCTTGACAAAAGATAGCGCTTGATAAACCAGCTGAGTCGGTCAGCTCTTTTTCACTATTAGTGCTGGTTGCACTCTCCTCTACAAAGTTCACACCGGCTGAATGAGGTACAGCTGTAAACAGCCTTCCTTTTCCATCATCTCTATGTCCTTCATCACTTTCCTCATCAGGATTGTTTGTAGGCAGTTTTTTCACTCCCAGCCCTCCTGTCTGCACATCATTCCCAGCATGCCCTTTCACTTCTTCTTCGTCATCAAGAGCTTTCTGAAGAGCTAAGAGAGTCCTTGGTGATACAGAGCCATCATCTACAGCAGCGGATGCATTCTTCTCGTTGTACGGCCTTTTCCTCCCGCTCTCCACCTCCTCTTCCGGGTTATTCCCCAGCATGGCTGCTTGCATAGCTAATAGAGTTCTCGGAGAAGGAGGGCTAGCATCAGTCTCTTTCTCTGGCTTCAGTTTTTCACACGGAGGTGACTTCACGTCAAAAGACATGCTGTGCATTCTACTGGAGGAAGGAAGAGACTCTGAATCTCCTTCTGCAGTTTTCTTAGCTTGAATACCTTAAGAAAATGAAAACGTTTCTAATTATGTAGTTTTACAGCGTGACAATATGCTTCTAGCAAGGTAAATGAGAATACTGGTTCTCATAAACAAAATGATAAATTTTCATTTTCTTCGCAACAAAAAGTTAATTCTTTAGTTAATTTAAAAGTAGGCTGGCATGTTAGTAGTTAATCCATTAATAGCTCTATAAAATTATTATTATGTAAGTAGGACTTAACATTATCAGGGTGGTAATTTATAGAATTCAGAGACATGACCCAGTTTTGGTTTTTAACTGTCAAACAAGTGATGGTGCGTGCTACCTTACCTTTTATCAAGATGTAATGTGAAGTGTCTTCAGAGACCACTCTCCTGGACTCCACCTCCTTCAAAAAGCCCCCTTCGTCTTCATATTGCCTTTGGATTTGCCCTGAGTGTTGCTGATTCATTTCCTTTTGTATGTTCTCTATGTGCTGATTTAAGTAGTTTTTTTTAAGCAAGCCTTTGAGTTGATACTGTGAGAAGTCATCGGACTCCTAAAGGCAAAATAAATTTAAAAAATGATTCTTAAAAAATTTAAATACAGGTAATATTACCGTTTTTCCATTCCCTTCCCCAACAGGGAACGAAGAACAACTGATTTTTTTTCCATCGGTATTATTTTCCTATTATCAAAGTAAAATGTGAATAGTAGAAAATCTGTAACTGACCTTTTAAAGGATAATCTTTAAAACCAAAATAATTGGGGAAGAGGAATGATGCTACAGACGCCATGTATGATCTGATCATTTATTCAAAAACATTCACTGAGCATCTAATGCCTGCCAGTTACTGTGACACTCTGATTATGGTTTAACAGAAAATATTCTAGAATGCAAATAAAGAAGCAAAGGAAGTACCTGGCACAGTCCTCGGCACATAAAAGATGCACAGTGAATTACAGCGATTGTAATTATTAACACTAACAGTCAACATTTATAAAGCGTTTCGTGTGTGCAGTGCGCTCTTCTAAGTGCACTTACATGTACTATCACATTCCATTCTCACAACCACACTAGGGGACAGATACCCTTATCCCCATCCCACAAATAAAGAAACTGAAACTTAAAAAGGTTAAATAACCCAATTAAAAAACGGGCAAAGGATATGAACAGGCACTTCACCAAAGAAGACATTCGGGCAGCTAACAGATACATGAGGAAATGCTCATGATC